GTATGTAATAACGGAAATGAAGTGAATGGTCCCGCAAGTATTGTCTGACAAAACTTTAGCTTTCATTAGCGGGGGTAAATCGAGAATGTGCGCGCGGCGCGCGTTTTGATTTCACGAGTTACATTTTCCGTGTAACGGCAAATGTATTTAATCGTCGAGCATAATTTTTAAACTAAACGTAACAATAATTCGCCCGCCCGTATCGCGAGTGTTCATTAACGTTGAAGGAAATATCGCGTATGCCGGCGCCGTATTTCGGGCAGTTAATTGGTATCCCCGCGTGCACGATATTCGGGCGAATTTGATAAAATTCTGACAGGCAGGATAAGCGTTTCGCGCCACGAACAAATAAACCGGGAGAGAAATTTGAATCGCTACTCTCGCGGCGGACGTCGTGCTCGCTGCCAGTTAAAACTGTAAATTTAATTATTTATAATGTCAGCGCGCGTTAACTGAATTTAAATGTGAAATTACACGCGTATATATATGTATATATCGTAGCCTTCGGTTCATTAGATTAAAGTACTTATTAAAAAGGAGATTTTCTTTTCCGGGGAAAAAATGAGTGCGTTTCCCGTTGCGATTCCCATCCCTACGAATCTATCTCATCCCTCGCGCTAATGCTCGCTCGTATAACGTTCCCAGTTTTTTAAAACCTGCCTTAATAGCACTCGGCACAGTTGATAATCTCCTCCTGCTTTAATTAATCCACTTGTGCGAAATGCAGGCAAGAAGTGCATTTCGACGAGAGAGATCGGCGAGAGCGTGCGCGAAATTTCGAAGAGCGCGTAACGAGCTTATCATATTTTCATGCTTTTCATACTCTTGCCGTAATTTCGATAAGCGATCGCGTTGCCCCGCCGCGTGTTTGCGATGCTGTACGTAATCGTTATAAATTCCACGTTGAAATAATTCTATGACAGCGGGAGAGGAGAGGCACAACGAAAAAGTTTATTCTACCTTGTTAATTTACCTTTTCAGAGAGCAAAGAAGTCAAAGAAAATATGCATGAGTTGTATTTTCTAATTAGTATTCGGTAAAGCTCGTAATTTTAGTTTTTCCTTGTGCAAAAAATGAGTAAGAGCGTAAAATATGAAATTGCCGCGTGAATAAATATTCACATTGAGGCAAATGACGGAGCATTCAATGATGGAACGTAATTCGGTATTGATCGATACCCACGCTTTGTATTCATCGAATATCATTAGTAAATACGCCATGTTTGACTACACCGCGCGTGTGACATATAAATATTGAACACGCGACAAATAGCCCAGCGCGCAACAAAATTCTGCCTCTCCAACACACGGCGCATTTAACTTAATTCCTTATACATATTTTATGTTGTATTCTCAAAAAATTATTACCTCGTCGAGAGTCGGGATACGATATTACGTTCAAATGCGCTGCTCAATTTTAATCACGTGTACTTGTAATTGTTACAAAGGCCAGGGAAGGGAAATTAAAATGAATTATCGTATCGCTAATGCGGCTGAAAAGGGAGGATCCCGCGAAAGACGAGTGCAAAATTGAACTGCAAACTCCCACCAGTCATTGTCGTGTTTGCGCTATGCGCAAATAATTATTTTCGTGTGTCATACATCTTTGCCCGCGTCGATTAGTCATACTTATATTCGTAAACTTATGAAACGTGGTCGAGCCAAAGCAAAAACGAATGGGTTGCGAACACCCCCAGTTAACAATCGATCTCTCCAGAGAGCAAGACTGACAGCACGTCATTTCGGTAAGTACGGGCTAACAACTTCTGAGTATAGTTCTCCGCCGAGAATTCGTGACGTCTCTGAAGCGAGGAGAATTAATAATGCCATAAGCCGAATGGTAGAAATTAGGATGATATTGCATTTCTACTCAAGTACTCAAAGAAAAAGAACAAAGTTTTCTTTTACCTTAAAAAGTTTAAGTACACGGTAAACGTATTCACTTATAGTTATAGTTCATATCAAACTTTAGACAATAATAATTTTTTCAGCGATAGCAGCTGCACCTTTAGATCGATATGCCGCAACAATCTATGTTTATTCCACAGAACATAAAAATGGAATGTAAATTTCAAATTTTTTATCAAAATGTTCTATAAATATTTTATATTGTTATAAATTTTCTAAAATATTATAAAATATAAATTATTGTGAATTGAAATATTAATTTGTTTAATAACAATGCAATAAAGAATTTTATTTATATTCTCGCACTCGGTCAATGCGGTTTGCATGCTGTTGTAATAACCGTTATTTAGAAAAAAATTCAGTTGAATTAATTCAGTTGAAATTTATGATTAAGAGAGAAAAAAAGAACAATTTTAAATTAATGAGAGAAATAATTCAACCAAGTTTCTTAACTTTAGAATCTTTATGGAATCTAATACGGAATTATAGATGTTTGCACAAAAAATTATTTATCAATTATAACAAAAAATTTTTTCAAGAAAGCTTTTGACGTATTTTTTCGCATCTATGAAAAGTTAATTATTATATTTCGTTAATTATTATATATCCAGAGAAAGGTAGAAGAATATTATTAGTTATTGTTCAATATAATCATATCAAATATTTTTGTAATATTTATCAAGCATGAATCAAATATGGAAGTAAGAAAAAAAGGCGGTTGATTATTTACGAAGAAATGTACATTATGACATTCTCTATATTCGCATTTTACTCTATATTCGCGCATTTTACCATCCAGTTTTAATTGTCCATTAAAACAAGTAGATTTGTCTCACGCAACCTATTAGGTTGACCTGATTATATCATAATTAATTAAGTTCTATCGTTCTAATTAAGTTCTCTAAAATGCGAAATAAATTGTACAAGGTACAAAGCGCTCAATTATTTCTATTAATAGAAAACACGATTAGATCGTTACGTACGTAATGGCTTCCTGGATGCGTCCTAAGGGAATCGCATCCACGGGTACATTAAACATGAATAAACTCCGCGCGTGTAATTCCTGCGCGGTTACCTTCGCCTTCGCGTAAACCACGAAAGTAGTACCTCACTCTCAGTAACCTCACCCAGGTGCGGAGAAAAAAAATGCGCGAGAGCTCGGGAAGAGAAATACCTGTATCCGGATGTTCCAACATCTACACTCGTAAAGATGATGGCCCATCGCGCTTCCGTCTCGTCCCACGGACATCTCGGTGCTGAAGGCGCTCTCGAGCTCCCCTTGCTCTCGCTGCTCTCCGTTTATCAGCGATGGCAGCACGCGGGCTACGCCGTACGGCGGTCGCAATGAACGAATTAAACTCTCATTCCACCGATGCGGTCACCACAATGCGGACACCGTTCCTCCTTCCCCGCGAGCCATTTCTCCCGCGACTCTCGCGTCTTATCGTCTTGACCTGCACGCCTCACGACAGTGTCTGTCTTTCTCCTCGTCGTTTCCGGCGCGACGTTTTTTCTCTCTCTCTCTCTCTCTCTCTCTCTCTCTCTCTCTCTCTCTCTCTCCTCGTTCTGCGACGGAGGAAGGACGGACGTGGCGTGCTGTGCCGTAGCATGCCGTGCCGTGCCGTGCCGTGCCGAACGAGGACCAGCGCAGCGCAGAGCAGCTGGAAACGTCAGAGTGCCCTCCGACTTCGTCGCGTGCACATCCCTCCCTGCGGAGATCGCGGGCTACTATCGCGGACGACCTGCGTTGCGAATCGCGTTGCGCGATCGTACGCATACGCGAGAGCGAGACGGTACGCGGCGGGCGGTCGACGTCTGTACGTCTGTCTATTTATCCGTCTATCGCGCGCCGGCCAGATACCAGGCTCGTGATACCGCGACTGTCCGAGAAAGCCACTCACGCTTTCGCGGCGTCACGGCGAAGAGGGGCGGAACGGAAATTGAAAACGACGGTGCAACTCGATCCAATCGGCTGGGATCGAGAGGGAGAGAGAAACTGAACTTCATTCCGCGCGGAATTGCGGAGCTCGCCTTCGGAGTTTCTCTCGATTACATCGCTACGGTATTTCTGCCCCTCCCCCCCCTCCCTATCTCGGGAATTATCTCTGAAGATCCGTCGGCGGGAACGTCCGGTCTGATTATTGGAGATTTTACTACTAGGTGCCCGGAGAGAGGATACTCTCCGGAAAGAAAAAGAAAAAAAAAAATCTCCCTCTTTCTCCGGGATATCCGCGAAAGGATCTCCGTACAATCGTTTCGCAACGTTTCGGAGCGATCGCTACGTGCGTCAACGACGGTGCATAACTCTCGATATAAACGCTCGATAGGAATCCTTCCCGTGAAGTGACGTAACCACCCACTTTACAGTTTTCTCACAGGAAATAAAAAGCGTGAGATTTAAGCGCGCGACTGAGATATACTCGTCGAGTCTAGGATGGACATCTGGAAGAAGCGGCGCTCGTAAAGTTTTCGGTGTTGATGCTGGTGCCACGTTTTTCTCGCGCGTCGTATTTCGACTTTTCCTACAAGCTTGCGAGCGAATCCAAAGGAAATTGTAGAATCTCGCGAGAGATCGAGCACGATGGATTGAAGGAGCATCGATTATCGGGGGTCACAAACAGGGGCGGCCTACAGGCGCGCTGGACATCAAGTTAAATCGCTTTAGTATCGAGGACGGGCAGATAGTGTAATAGTGATAAGGCACAGGCGAGTGTGAGTGACGGAGAAAGAGAGCTGGACAGAAGTCCCGTGACTCGATCAATTTGGAAATCGCACGAGTGCGAGCGATCGTGATGCTGCCGCGAACAAGTGTTTTATCGTTTCAATAAGAAGAAATCTAGGCACAATCTAGAGCATAACTGTGTGAACTCGCGAAAGAGGAAAAGAATAATCGAATCGCTTTGAAATATCATTTTTTGAGGAGGCGATGTATGCGGTGAAAGTAAAGAATACTCGTAGAAATCTCTTTTGAAGCGTATTACGGTCGATTATAGAACTGAACAGATGTAACTGATTCACTCGTGTGAAAGAGCACGCACACACATACACACACACACACACACACACACACAACAAAACACACACACACACACACACATATGTATATATACATATACATATCCACACAAGTAGAAGCGAACAGACGAAATAAAAGAGATTTGACATCCGTGCGGTACAAGAGCGGTTATATTAACTGCCCGCCGTAATTGGCTCCTGTGAGGCTCGGCGCTTAATTAGTTGGGATCTAACGTGAACGATGAAGTGGTACGTGTTGGTGTTGGTATTCGCCGGTCTGACTAGGGGCGATAATGCCATCGATACGAACAACATCTTCAATTGTCCAGAACTCAATGCTCAAGACGAGATAGATCTCGACAAGGTATGTGTGTGCTGCCATCATTAGCGCCCGCTATCGCCACGCTATCGCTCCGCAAACACGGGGCAGTGATATAAAAGGGATGAAAATAAGTATTTGCGTGTCCCGATGCGTCTCTTGCCTCAGATAATTTTATACCAAGGAAAAATACATCCCTGTGCAAAGTGTTCCCATTCAAGTACATCGTTCTAATTTGTACATCGGATAAAGCGCACCGCGAAAAAAAAGGTTTCTCCTTTACGCAAAGTTATCCCGAAAAAAGATGGAGCACCTATTTATCCCATACCTCTGCAGATTTTAGTATTTTACTTTTCTGCAGAAAATGCATTTTCTATGTTAATTATATAATTTACAGCTTTCCTCCCTCTTTTGTACGTCTGTTATAAATTTAACTTATGCTCGGTTAGATGTACGCAGCGTTGAGGAACATTTAGAGGGAATACGTTCATTTTTTTCTTCCTCCCCCCCCTATTTAAAAAGCGCATGCTTGAAAAAGAATGATATTACGAGAGATCCGTGTAACACGTCCGATTGTTATAAATACTTACGATACGGCGTACGGATGAAATGTCTCGGCAGCGGGATAATATATTAGGCTTTTAATATGTTCCCCGTCACGAACATTACCCGATGCTCGCCGATAATTCAACGGTCCGTCATAAGCATCACTTGTGGCTGTCTGGCATACATTTGCATTAATATAACTTTCTCACAAATCGGAGAAAAAAAATGTCTTTCGTGGATGCAAAAGCGCGCGGTTCGTTTCGCGATATCAGATATGCGTAATTGAAATTTGTCTACGTGATTTCACATATCCGCCGCGCGATACATTGATTTCACGTTAATTAATTATTTCGTTTAATTTTCACCTCTCATTAAATAAAGATAAACTTCATTAATACTATATCACCATGGCAATTTTCTCTATCCTAACACGTTCGTACATCAATAAACGCATCATAAGTGTGTCTAAAATATTTATAAATATTATATTAGCCGCTCGATACACGACGTAATTTAAACTGTGTAACCGAAAATGTGAAAATAAGCCGCTTTTAATCAATCAATCGCCGTTCAGAAAATATGAAACGCGAAACAGTTTGTAATAAATCGGGTATGTCAATCCGGATATATCGGCCTACTACAAATGTAATATTAATAATATAGGAACGGCGTATCGTTTCAAAAATTGAATTTGTTTTATCGGTAAAAAGTAGTAACTATATAACGCATAGACAAAAGAGGAGAAGAGGAGAGTCGTTAAAAAGAGACTCGTTAGCTCGATGATATTTAGATTCAAACTCGAACCTTTGTGTTATGTTGAAGCGTATATATACACACAGCCTTACCCAATTTGTTCTGACTACAGTTACGTTTACGTTTTACACGTTAACTTAAAAAAAAAAAAAAAAAAAAAAAAAAAAAAAAAAAAAGAAAGGAGGGAAAAACGATGTTCGTTTTGATGTCAAAGCATTGTTTAACATGCGAGCGCTTGAAAATTGAAGAATTTCTACGGATCAACTTTTAAGAATACAGATGATGATATACAGACGCGTTTTTCATTTTAAGTTTAAGTGTGAATTTCATATATAACAAATTTTTTTTAACTAAGTTGATTCGAGTTGATTCTTCGCTCATTAATATGCATTTTAAGGGTATTCTGGAAAAAAAGCGGGCAAAGCGTTGATTTTGTTATCGAATCGTTCAGATGCGCAACGTATATGCTCGCGCATATGTATGCATGTACATGCAACATGGCACGTCCATTGATTAAACCAGATTTAACGGCGCTGTGTGTCACGGCCTCAAAAAGCAGGTCAACCATTTCTTCTTTAACGAAAAAACCACCGAAATTTATTTCGCCGGTTAATGGACGTATGCGAATTTGCATTTTTGTTATACACGAAATGTCACTTCCAGCTCGCGCCGTGTAACTATTTTTAGTGATAAAAGCGATTTACGTGATTAAACCGGCTGAAATAACCGTCAACGGGATTCTAATAATCCTAATAATCCTTGAAATCAGAATGGAGGAACGGTAACTTTTTTTTTTTTTCAAACCTCCTCTTTCTAGCGCGGAGGATATGCAGTTGTACGCAAGTGTTACAATTGGACGTTACAATCGTTATGGACGAATCGCAACTAATGGTTCACAGTTGGGCGAAGCTTAAAGTATCGTTAATTCAAAACAATTACGAGGTTCCTGGCACGCTACCTCTACGAAGTTGTCAAGCCGCTCTCCGGCTTATATAGTTATATTACGGAGTGCATTAAGTGCCGGTCATAATTTAAACGGTTACGTCCAAGACTTGTAATTCCAATCCCACGAGGGTTAGTCATATACGTAATTAACGAGCCACTTTTTACCGCGCGCACAACTCTCCGTGTGGTGCAGCGATATGTAATGAAATATCGCAACGCCATAAAACATTGTTAAATGCACTACCGAAACTGCAACTGAGCCTTGTTTGAAGAGTCACGCTCAGCCGATTAATCCAATATACAAATTACCGAGTTTCTATTCCAACACAAATTATTACACACATTATTATTCGGGCATTCTAATTAGATGTGGGAGTATTCGCTATTCGTTAATTGAAATGCCAATGTCTTGGGATATCCGACATATCCGACGGATTTCGATACGGATTATCGGAGACAGCTTGTTGGAGACACGATGCGTGCAGTTATCAAAGTCATGCTCGCTTAAAGCTTCATGCAGGGTGCATTAAGTGGTCGTTATGAATTAAATCGTGTTCAAGACCCGTTATTTCAATGGAACAAGGTTACCCGTACGCTAACGTGACTAAGTGTTGTGCTTTCTAAGTATTCGATACATTAGCGACGATCAATAATCCTAAAGCATCTACGATTCTAGCAATAAATATTCATTTAAAAAAAAATCACACTATATAGATCTAGTTGAAATATATTCTCAATCATTATAAATTTTGTTTATAAGACCATTTAAGTTAATAAAATTTTATAATGTGAAAAATCATATTATTATTATTATTATTTCAAGAAATTATAAGTATTCTTATAAATATTAAGCCAGCGATATAAATAATAAAGTATTTTTATAATTTGAATTTAATAAATTACAACGCTTTATTTTCTTGTCAATAGCCAGAGTTAATTACCAAGTTTTCTTAGAAATTTATATATACCGAAAGTGATATTGAATTAATAAGTTCTTACAGGGCTCAATTTGTTAGGAATGCTTTGACATCGTTGGACAATATTTTTATCCACAAGAGAAACACAAATTAGACGAGCTTGAAAATTTAATTTTTTAACGAAAGTCTGCTAAACTTCATAAATTATATAAATATGAATAAATCCAGTCAGATTAAAATTTGTACGCAACGAATTATATATGCAGCTCTCGTTTCAAGAGAAATAAAAAATATTTATATAAAATTACAAACAATTGTTTTATTACACTTTTTATTTCGTTTTTTTTTCTATGGCTATTATTTTTACGCGGATTTATTTTATTGCATTTTTGGGCGCTACCAATTTTCAAACAAACGAATTTATTGCGAGTTCAGTTATATCGGTTTTATTCCTGCTTTGCGGATACAAATTAGAAAAAAAGAAAGCAGAATGCGAGTGAGGAAAAAAGCAGTCGTCGGCGAATTGCGGAGACATACACATTCGCAAATCGGAAATCTCAACAGAATATTTTCTCCCCACGTATTTCATAAACTATCTTATTCCCTCCCGTTTCAATGCCGCCGAGTTAACGTTCGAAAAAGGCCACCCTTTCCCGTATCTTTTCTCACATCCTCCGCACGAACTGGACTTACCTTACATTATTATCAAGGCTCCTATAGTACGGTGAGCTCTCGACGTTTCTCTTTTTCTCGTCGTTCAATAGGACTCGTATGAACTGCATCTTACAGCCGTGCAATGAGCTAAGAGCACGATGCCCGGCTTGTCTACGATCTATGAGAGTGAGAGGAAAAATAATATCTATATCTGAGAAAATCGGAAGGATCTGAAAGAGAGAGAGATAACAAATCGAGAGGTATAAGAATTATAATAAAAATTATACCCCTAAAAGGAAAAAAAGAATAGTTTTACAAAAAGAAATGCACATTTTGCAGACAGATATATTATATTTTTCTTTTAATCCGTGAGAAAAAGCGGATAAAACCAAAATTAATGGTCAAACTATGAAAAAAAAGTAATACGAATATAAATGAAACTTTATAAATTTTTTCATATTTCTCATTTTCAAAAAACCAACCCGTGGATTTACGTATAATTGCACGGTTGCATCGCAAACAGTTAACTCCGAACATTTGTTTTGGGACAGACCCGTTTGTCATTATTTTCGAAAAAAAAAAAAGAAGCGTCTAATGATTCTCTCCCCGAGACCGATTTGTTATTTGTGATGCTGCGCTCTTGTATTTCATATATTTCGAGACGGTCGGTCTAGAAATTGCACGAAATAAGCTGTTCCTGTAAATGGTCCGTCTGTCACGTGTTGAGAGCAAGCGTAACGGCAAACTGCATCTGCGGCGCTTTCATTTGCAACCGCGTCGTAACAGCAAACGCGAAATCGCGGCCACGGCGAGGCGGGCGTTATCTTGCTTAATAAAAAAAAAAAAAGAAAAGAAAAAGAAAGGAGGAAAAGGAAAGAGAGAACTTTCCTCTTTCCATTTTTTGTTGAAAAGGCTTTCGGTGTAAGTTTTCGCGGCAGACAATAATAACAAATAAACCACGGCCGTTTCTCATTGTGCCGTTTGTATGGCGCATTGAGAGAGGTATTCACCGACGACATCCGAATTTATTTCCGGGTTTTATTTCTTAAACTTCTCGCACCGGTAATTAGCGTGGTTTCAAAATTCATTGTAAAAGATGTTTGCATTATGAGCAGCGAGATATCAAGGAGATATCGCAGTGCGAATTTCATTCTGGCAGGCGGGGTTTAATTCGAGAGGAAACGGACAGCTTTAATTCAAGTCAATTGAAAGATCTCAATTTCTGGCGAC